AGCCCTCAGTTGTCGCCCATCCGAACTCGGGATGCTCCATTCTTTATCGGCTTTTAGAATGCTGTCAGTTATTTTGTCTTCGGCAGCGCAGAACAAACACCCGTTCGGATGTTAGTATGAGCTTCGTAATGAAACGCTTGTATTTTAGCTTTTTTGACATAATTGTAAGTGAAAATTTATTGCAAAAAATATTATATTTCTTAATTGAATGTTTTTACAATATTTGATACCAACCATTTTAAAGAGTATTTTTATCATTTATTGTGAAAGTTGACCGTAACATTTCTATAATGATTGATGCTAATCCATAAATAATAATAATAATAATAATAATGTCTTTATTAATGGCGAGGCTCAGGCCATAGGGCCTGCTCTTCCGCCTAAAAAGAACAAAAGTCGTGATTGTCGAAACAAATGCATTCAGTACGTCTGATTAATATGTGATCAGTTTAGGTATCTTAGTGCAAAAGCGATATCACACTTGTTTTATTAATAACTATTATTGAATCAGGAAGTAACTACGATAACAATTATTTATATAATTGCTTTTATTTTCAACATGTTACTAGAGAAAGAAAGAATTAAAATTTCGATGTTTGATTCTTCTCCGTATGTATTATCTTTGTATGATGTAATTCTCTCTGTCTGAATGTTGCTGACAGTCTTCTGAGTTGTTGACTTTTTAAATCGATGGATATTAGTTATGACCTTTAGTGACTGGTTCTGTTGCACGGACTGAAGTCGAAATTCCTAAAATTTAAAACAAAAAATATCGTATGTATTAATAATTACTTTTATACAATAAAAGTAACATTTTCTACGAACTGTGGATGAAAATATGATGAATTATTGTGGCGATTACAATATCCACCGGCTACCTTTGATTCGCGATGTCATTGATCTATCGCCAATCACATGTTTTCTTTCGCACCTTTCGTTTCCAACAATCATTTTGTTGATAGTTCAGGTCTTGACATTTCATCTCTTTTTCAATTAACGCAAAATACTCTTGGGTTTGATGGAGGCTTCATATCTTAAACTTAAAAATTAAAAACAGATTCATCGATTATTTTAATAAAAAGAAGTTAGAACTACCAATTTCAAATATATAAGGAAGATTCAGTGGTGATGATGAAACTTGAGAAATATCGGAGATTTCCAGTTATCGAAGTTGTCTCGTAATTACCCGGATTCACGTTTTCCGTTCCCCGCCTCCTATTCCTGCCAACTAATCTCGATTCCCATTTCCTGTGCCCCCGTTTCCATTCCCGACAGCTATTCTTGATTCGCGTCTTCTGCCCCTCGTGTGCCCCTTGTCAACCTCGCCGCCCACCCGCGCCCGCGTCTGGCAGGCAGCAGCCTCCCCCTGCCACCCGGAGGGTCCGAGGCATCGACAGCAACTTGGTTGAGACTGGACGTGCCCGGCGCGAAGAGCAGGCCTGGGCGGAGGGGCGCGAAGGGTAACTGTGTGGGGGTGAGGTCGGGTGAAGTAGATGTGGTGAAGGGGCGCGGAGTCTGGGAGCGAGGTTGAGCTCATCGGGGTGAGGCAGGGGCAGGAAAAGACGAGCCGAGGCGCGAGAACGGGGCGAAATCAGTTTGGAGGGGGGGGGGGCATTGTGGTGTTGGGAGGTGGCGGTGCGGGGCGGTACGATGGGCGAGGAGGCGGCGCGCGGCGCGGAACCCAGAACTTGAACTTGCGCGTCTCGGCAGAAGACGCAGGACCCCGAGCTTAATTAAACCGCGCGTTCG